CGTGCGTCCCGATCCCCCTGCACCGATTTCCCATCCTCCCCCCCACCACACACACACACACTAGCCACCTGCACCCACATTGCTCCACGCCTGGATCAGCCACACGTGCTGAGCCTATTTGCCCCCACTTCATGCATCTGGCATGGAAGGGCAAGGCCACAGGGTATTTCTGTGGTAGTCCTGGCCCTGTGCTGTCAGCACGTGCGTCCCGATCCCCCTGCACCGATTTCCCATCCTCCCCCCCACCACACACACACACACTAGCCACCTGCACCCACATTGCTCCACGCCTGGATCAGCCACACGTGCTGAGCCTATTTGCCCCCACTTCATGCATCTGGCATGGAAGGGCAAGGCCACAGGGTATTTCTGTGGTAGTCCTGGCCCTGTGCTGTCAGCATTAGGAGCAGCCTCCCCACCAAGTCTGTGTCTCCAGGCAGGTAGCTGCAGGATGATCTCCCACCTGCATGCAGTCAGTGGCTTGTGCTCCCCACTGCCATTCTGGAACTTCCACATTTGACACATACTGTACACATTTTCAGAATTTTAAAATATGCATAGAAAACATTTTGGCAGAGAATTCCCTCTGGAGTAAAGGAATATTCTGCCATGGCGAAATGCCTTCCACTATGAAAATGTTCATCTAGTACTAGTGATGTGATGGGGTTTTTTGTGTCTTGTGTATGCACATATGTCTCAAATGTTGTGTTTTTGAGGGAATTTTAATGGCAGGCTGACTACATCAATTGACTCTGTGCATAGAGACAACTGTGGCTGGAGTAGTGTGGCATACAAAGCAAAACTCATGGAAGGATAACTTTTTAAAATGTCAGGTTTCTTAGGCATTGTTTTGGGCCCAAGTTATCTTGTTTGGGGATTTCGGTGCAGATAGTGAATGTGCTCATTCTGTGCTAAATGAAAGGTTTGGACAGAAATGATCTTTTTAAAACTTTATTTAATTTAGTTTCTTAAAATGTCTAATTTCCCATAAGGGGAGATAAAATATTTAACCCAGAAAGAAATGAAAGATCTTGCTGAGTTGACTGGTCTGGCCTTTTGTCACTGCAGTGTTTCGGAGCTTCTGCTCTGCAATTAGTTTCTCGTGCAACTGTCATTGTGGCCAGTAAAACTAGTTTTGTTGTCATCACATCCCCTCAATCAGCATCAAATCTAGGATGTTTTAAAATCACCAGAAGGGCTGAATTAATTACTCTAGTGACAACAGATAGAAATGTAACTTGAGTTGTAATGTCCTTGATGAGACTTTCTTGTTATGTGAAATATGCTTTATCATATATTGTCTTTTTTTTTTCCCCCCAGTGGAGCAAGACGTTCCTATTGAGCCGCCGAGCGCAACCACTACAACCACAATTGGAATCTCTGCAACGTCAGCTACTTTCACAAATGTCTTCGGGAAAAAGAGAGCCAACGTGGCAACAACTCCTGGCACAAACAGAAAAAATAAGAAGAACAAAACGAAGGACACTCCTCAGAATGTGCAGATAATTTTGCCAGATCAGCATATATCTCTAGCACAGCAAAAAGCAGATAAAAATAAAATAAATGGAGAGCCACGAGGTGGCGGTGCAGGTGGGAATAGCGATTCGGATAACCTGGATAGCACAGATTGCAATAGCGAGAGTAGCAGTGGAGGTAAAAGCCAGGAGTTGAACTTCACTATGGATACAAGCACTTCTGGTGATAGGGGATATGCCTCATTACTGCTCCCTTCTCAGGAAGAAAAGACAAGCACCTCAGCTTCAAAAATACAAACGAGGTGAGTCTTTGGTTTCTCCACCCTGCCCTCTCTTGGCTGTGGTTTGGTCTATGCCATTGTGAATCTGTTTATTGGCACTTAAATGTTATAGAATCTAGTAAATTCTCTCGTTTCGTTTTAACTTTGGAACAGTTAGACATGACCGAAAGTCAAAACAATCCAGTGGCTGCTTGCTAGGCTTTGTGAAGTAAGTTAGAGGTTCAGTCCAGTTCTTGTGAACATACTAACCACACAAAATGCACTGATTGGCATTGACTAGCACCCATATTACAGAGGCTGTAACCTAAATAGGAGCTTGGAGAATTATCTCTTTCCCCTATCAGTGTGGTGTAGTCCTTCTGGATCGTGTTTGGGATGCATTTGCAGGACCAGATGCAAGAATCTTATATTGTTGTTGCCCCTTGTTTTGCCTCTTTCTAGACATGGAGAACATCAGTAACCAGGGACACATCTGGAGTACTAAATTAAAAAATATTCCTTGACACCTGATTCAGTACTGTTTAGTTTCTGAAAGCACTGAATTCTAATTCCATTGAGAATAAAGTATGTAAATGACAGATCAGGATATGCCTTACAGATGTATCCGTGCCTGCTGTTGAAGATTATAAAGCCACAGCAGTAACAAGCATGCTTTGTATAATCAGGAACAGTAGAAGTTTAGCTTCTCCTACACCTGTAAGGATTTTGCTTTCTCTAACTTCTGTGTTTTTTACATTTTAAAACCAACTGCCATTGTACAACATATTAGGTTTATTCCTGAAGGCTTGCCAATGAAATGACTTTCCTGTTCCTAGACAAAGGGCTTGTCTGTACTGCAGTGGCACAGCAGCACCGATGCTGCTATGTTGCTGTAGCAATTAGTGAAGATGCTGTCTTCTCTGAAAAGAGAGCTTCTCCCATCATCGGAGGTACTGCACCTCTCCAAGATGGCAGTAGCTGTGTTGACAGGAGACGTCGTGCAATTGACAGCATTTTCTGTACCATAAGTTAATCAGGAGTGTGGGTTTTCCACACCCCAGTGTAGTTACACTGACACAAGTCTAGTGTAATAGACCAAGCCTAAGTCTTGAAAAAAAATCCCAATGTCCCACAGGCCACACTGTATAGCACTGTATATTGCAGTTCAATCTTTTAAGTAAATAGCAACCTTTTGTATTAGTCAGATACATTTTACTTCTCCGCATGTTCTTTAAATAAAGGAAGTGCCAGGATCAAGCTAAGGCATCTTGCCACAGTTGATGGGTGAAACTTGGTCCATGTACCAGCCCTTTAGATGCTGTCATCTCCCTGTTCAAAAACTTTTCATTTCTTAAAATGCATCTTCTGCATCCTCTTTGCTTTTGCTGTTTTTATGAGAGCCTGTGCATGTGTAGGAGAAACATCAACCATATATGTGCGTTGAGACGACAGCTTAACTAAACTCACTTTTTTTGGAGGTTGAACGGTCTCTTACATATCAACTAAGAATTACCAAGTCACTTTGCGGTATAGACCTAAACAAATCCTTTCAGTTTTACTCTGTGTATTTAACATCAATGTTGTAGTTTCCTCTGCTTCTGTGTTTTCCATACACATGCCTGTGCAACAAACGTTTTAATTGTGTAGTTCTCAGACAGTATTCTGAGAACCAGTAAACCTCTGTAGAGGACTTTCTGGAGGTCTGTGGAATTGCTTCAACACATTACTGGATTATGTAACAGACAAAATTCTGCTTTCCCAAGCACCTGTCTTTAAGCAGAGCTCCCTTCATGTTTGGACTGTTTTACAAGCATTTGAAAGCTCTTTGTTTGTTCAGTATTAATTAAAGCATAAACAAATTGACTGATACAATCTCTGAAGGCATTGCAAATGCAGAAAGACCCAACGTGTGATGTGCTATGGAGAAAGTAGAACAAAGGGAACTGCGGACAGTGAAGAAATTTGGCATTAGTGAAAGAGAGGATGGATGTTCTCATGCATAGGAAGCTAGTTCAGAACCAAGAGACCTGGGATACATTTTTCTTCTCTGCCACAGACTCACCTCCATTTTACTCAAGGTCACATAGTATCAACACGGGGAATTTGAGCACCCAAGGTTGATAAAAGTCGAGAGAATGGATATGACCAAGCCATCACATGCCTCCTATTAAAATGAGCATTTTAATCTGATGATGATGGTACTCTTCTCCTGTTAGTTCGTGTCATTTGGCGCTGTAGCTGGCAGAGGGTGGGCTCCGGAATAAGAAGTGGGCGGTTGTCTCTTAGAACAGTCGTTCTCAACCTTTCCAGGCTACAGTACCCCTTTCAGGAGTCTAATAGGTGAAACGTGGGGCATTCAAGACCAAACTTAAAAAATATTTGGTTAGAAAAATAGATGTAAAAATTTAAAAGGGTCGCAGCATGCTGTTAACTGAAAAATTGCTTCCTTTCTCATTTTGTCTGTGTGAAATGTTAGTTTGTACATAAAAAGCACTACAGAAATCAGTAACCTGTTGTAAAACTAGGCAAGTATCTAGATTAATTGATGTACTCCCTAGAAGACCCCTGGCTGCAGACTGCTCTCTGAGGACATCTTTCAAGTGGCCACACTCTGAATAAAATTGACAACTGTTTTAACTGATAATTTTTAGAGATTATTTAAAACTATGCTCTGCAGCTACTTTTTGTTTATAGTCTGTAATCCTACATTTCTGTTTCCAGACTTGAAGGTGACACTAATCCAAATTCATTATCGGCAAGTTATAAATCTGTGTCCCTGCCTCTGACCTCTCCAAACATAAAGCTGAACCTCACTAGTCCAAAAAGAGGCCAGAAAAGAGAAGAAGGCTGGAAAGAAGTGGTTAGAAGGTAAAGGTTTTCAATTCTGCGTTTTCTAAGTGTGTCTAGCCCTTTTGACTTATACACTGCGCACTTACCCAGAACATTTGCAGCTGTTGATAAAAGCCTTTCTTCCTGGTGCTTGTATTTTGTTTGCAAAACACTGCAACTATTATGGGTGATAATTACCCTAAAAACTGATGCCAGGTTTGGCTTTTTGAATTGTAAGAGTGGGATCCTTGCCAGGGCCTCTCTAAACTCCTTTGGGTAGGGGAGTTTGTTTTGGCTTTTCTTTAAGTGGGGAGGGATAGACCAAGGCTCCATTGGGAATGAAGGAATACAGCAGCAAAAGCTCAGTCACACTTGAGTTCCACATGGGATCTTTCAAAGATGGGTGGGTGTCAATGAAGATATACAGGAGGTGGTCCACAGACTGAGACATGGAGCTCATTGTGTTCTGTTGGCTCATGTTCTGGTAACTGATTTAGCTCCAACTCATTCATGGCCTAAAATATAATTGGTTGTGTAATTGAGGAATGTCCGTCTCCAACATGGCTGCCTTTTCTCGTCCTTGAAAATGCATGTGCATCACTTTGTTACATTGGGTGTCCTGTGGCCATATTGCAGCCCGTTTTATTCTGTCCACATGTAGCTGGAAACAGTTGTTAGCACTTCCTGTCTTTTTTTATTATTCAGTTGAAGTGAGACTTGTGAAAAAAGTGTTTGCCTTTAGCCCTGACTTAGCATCTCATGCTCTGCAATGCAGTATTTTAACTAAATGCTCCTTTTAGAGCATCTTTTAGTGAGGACTCGAAGTGTGAGGTTTGGGGGAAGCTATCTTATTCTAGCAAATGAAAAAATCTATGCAATTAAAATCTAACTTTCTAAGTTTTCCTATTAGCTCACCAGTTAAAATGTGCAGTTTTTCCCTACTTCAGTGATTGTAATACTTACTAGTCCATGGTATGGAGTGTGCCTAATAAACAGCCAGAGAGTCCCCCTCCGAACTTTTTGTCATGCAGGCATGGAACTGTTAAAAAGCAGACAGATGCCTTTACCAAGGCTGCACACAGACCCCACTATTGATCCTGGAGCAACAAACCCTCTCCAGACAGGTCTCTTGAGTCTCCTAGTTTAGTCATTTGCTTTGCTTTACTGCGTTTGGCATCCTGTATCTGCTCTGCCAGAACAGCTGGATTCTAGACATTTTCTTTCTAAAATGGTGGATTTTGATAACCATAAGGAATGTGATCACAAAATGTCTACTCTGGGTCAGAACTTGCTGAGCCCTGCCCTTGAAAGACAGAGCATGCATATAGCCTGAGAACCTTGTAGCAATCCATGTACTGTTTTCAAAGTGACTAGGTGTTGCACATGTCTACTTCCTGAAGCCTGTCCCAGTTCCAAGACCAAGAATTGTGTTAATGCCCTTTCCCTCAAAGCACCCTATTGGGTAGAAGGGATGTCTGTCCAAGAAATAACCAATGGAAACATCCCTTGTACCCTTGACAGGCAAGTAGGCAGAGTTTTGAAAGACCCTCCCACTAACAACACTCTGCAGCCAACACCAATTGAGCAATTTCAGCTGCAGAGAGGAGGGCGCTGCTGTTCAGGAGCAAAAAGGTACTATTTTGGGCATTTTTTCAAGCTAAAAACAATGAGTTTGGGAGGTGTCATTGGGGTGGGTATGGAGTGGGGTGCTGGGTGCTATTTAGAGTTCATGTGAGGATGGAATTCCTCAGTGGGTGGTGACAAGGATTTCTGAGTGTGGCTAGGGACTCACTTTGGAGGATGGATTGAGGTGGATTAAAGAAGGCTGGAATGAATCATGTGGAAGGATGTTGGAAGCTGCATGGGCAGGGGGAGATTGGGCGCTCCAATAGAGAAATATTTATACTAATGCAGATCCAAAGGGGAGGGAGTTGGAGCATGAGAAATACTGGGGGTGAGGGCATAATATCATAAAAGATTGTTTATGGGGATTGGGATGCTAGTGTGCATGGGGGGGGCATGGGATAGGTAATATAAGAAAATAAGTCATTTTATAATAATTTCAGAGATTAAGTGTAAAAATGATCTATTTTACATTACACGTTGATTAACTGAAATACATTTCCTGTATCATTTCTGATTAGTCATCTAAAATGCTACATATGACTAAATTTAAAATGTAGGAGAAGCTGGCAGCAACATAAAGAGGTGCAGAGTCTCTGTTCTGTTCTCATTCTTGAACCTTCATCACAGTGCCTTCTGAAACCCCTTGGAATGCCTGTAATTCCAGTTCAACTTGCCATACACCACTGTTATGCTTGGAAGCCATGGGCTTGAAAGGTCCAGCCTTTAAAGTCCGGGAGCACAGGTGGCCTGGAAGGACCTTGGCTGGGGTCTGGAATGCAAGCATAGCTGGTGTCCTAAGGCTTCCCGTTGCCGTATGCCTGCACTGACCCACCAATGCCATATGAATTTGAAAATCCTAGCAGGTCACTTAATATATTCATTCATTGAGTGTTTGGGTTGTAATGTCATGGCCTAAAATAAATGTGCTTCTGAAAATCTTTGCTGCCTTCATGGTGGCTTCTAGCATCCCTTTGGATCCTTGAATTGCACAATTGGCCTGCTTGCTGTACACCACTGCGTAGAGTCACTGGCAATCTTCTGCAGCATTTAAGTCTGGGCGATGTTAACTAGGGTGTTGGATCAAGACCCAGATTTTCAAGTGTTGCTCAAGTAGGTGGTGGTTCAAAGATACCAGTGTGGAACAGTTTAGCAGTCTGACTATAAACCAGTAGAAGCAGCTTGTGTCCAGTGGCTAATCCCTGTGATCCAAAGGTGCCTGATACTCATTAACATGTAAAGTAAGTGTTGCATAGAATTTCGTCCCGCATAAGGGACGAAAAAAGACGAAGAACAGGATGTCCAAAGTAGCAACATGGTGTGATGTGATATGCTTGGCTGAGTAAATGTTCTGAAGAAGTTGCTCAGGATGACCAGTAATTTCAGTGGGGAAGTTTTAGAGGCTCCAATGGGTGAATTCAGTATGGGCAGAAAACCACTTGCTGCCAGGAAATGTAAAAATATTGGGATGTTCAGCTGCCAAACAAAACAGATTTGGGCACTTTTTATATTTCTGTAAAATGACTTCCCAAATTTGCAATCTTTGTGATTCAGGTCTAAGAAATTATCTGTCCCAGCTTCTGTGGTCTCACGAATAATGGGAAGAGGAGGGTGCAACATCACAGCGATTCAAGATGTCACTGGTGCTCATATTGATGTGGACAAACAAAAAGATAAAAATGGAGAGAGAATGATCACAATAAGGTATGGCACATGGAAACCAAATAATTTTAAGTTGGTACAAGTTTTTTAGTCTCTACTTCAAAGGTAGACAAATTGGCTCTTTGCACTAGTGCCTATATTGCTGACAGCAGGATGTGCTTGAAAGTCTGATACACAAAGTTAAACCATAAAATAAGCAAATACAAGAAATAAAACATGGCTGTTCCACTCAATACTGTACTGATAGAGCCAGAATAAATTGTTTAGTTGAAGTGTTGCAACAAAGTGAGAATTCCATTCCAGAAAGAAGATTAATACTTGTTCTTAATTTCAGGGGTGGTACGGAATCAACAAGGTATGCAGTGCAACTCATCAGTGCCCTTATTCAAGATCCTGCTAAGGAACTGGAAGACTTAATTCCTAAAACTCATATAAGAACACCTGCTCCAAACACCAAATCAATCCATGCAAACTTTTCATCCGGAGTCAGTACCGCAGCTGCTTCCAACAAACCCTCGTTTCCGCTTGGAGCCCCGCCACTCGTCACCTCTCAGTCATCGACGCTTTCTACTCTCCAAACCAATAACAAGCTGAACAAGAATGTTCCAGCAAATGTGCGTTCTCCTTTTCCAGTGTCTCTGCCGTTGGCTTATTCCCACCCTCATTTTGCCTTGCTGGCTGCTCAAACTATGCATCAGATTCGGCACCCTCGCTTACCTATGGCTCAGTTTGGAGGAACTTTTTCACCTTCGCCAAACACTTGGGGACCATTCCCAGTGAGACCAGTTAACCCTAGCAGCACAAACAGCTCTCCAAAGCATAACAGTTCCAGTCGTGTGGGTAACCAGAATGGGAATCTTTTACAGACAGAGTCTACTGGATTAGCTACTGCTAGCTGCCCTATTACTGTCTCTTCTGTAGTTGCTTCCACCCAACCGCTCTGTGCGACAAGTGGTCGGACTCCCTCGTCGGTCAGGAAGCAGTTGTTCACCTGTGTTCCGAAAACAAGTGCGGTGGCAACAGCAATTTCAACTGTGACAAGCACCTGTAGTACTCTGCCTTCAGCTTCCTCTGCACCTGCAAACAATGGGCAAGTTCCCACAGCATTTCTGCCCTCTAATGTTCCACAAACCCAGCATTCTGCACTTAAAACGGACTCTTTCTCAGCACCCAAAGAGAAGGTGTCAGCACCAGACCAACCTACTGGAAACACTTGTGCACCATCTTCGGCTGCAAGTAGTTGCAATATGTCAGCTAGCAGCAATCCTGGAGTCCTAGAAACTCGCTCATCGAGCAGCCCTGAACCTCTAAATAACGTCCAAGATGAGATACTGCCAACCAGCATGTCAGATATAAGTTCCTCTGCGTCCATGCCTTTTTCATCTAGCTCAGAACCCACTCCATTAAGCTTAGCTTCGCCCAGATCAATTGCTGCAGATAATCAGGACAACAGTAATTTACCTCAATTAGCTGTACCAGCACCTAGAGTTTCTCACAGAATGCAGCCTAGAGGTTCTTTCTATTCAGTGGTACCAAATGCAAACCTACATCAAGATCATCAGTCTATTTTTGTTACGAATCCAGTTCCTTTAACGCCATCTCAAGGCCCACCTGCTGCAGTGCAGCTTTCATCAGCCATGAACGTTATGAACGGTTCTCAGATGCACATTAACCCAGCAAACAAACCATTGCCTCCTACGTTTGGGCCAGCAACACTTTTCAATCACTTCAGTAGTCTTTTTGATAGCAACCAGGTGCCAGCCAACCAAGGATGGGGAGACTGTCCAATGTCCACGCGAGCAGCAGCCGACCCGTCTTTCACTGTTCAGTCTACTTTTCTGAGTAACTCTGTGCTTGGACACATAGATAATGTGCATCCTGATAACTCCAAGGCTCCTGGATTCAGGCCACCTTCCCAGAGAGTTTCTACCAGCCCTGTAGGTAAGTCCACAGCATTTCTACGCTGGCCGAAAGAGACAGTCCTTCAGTTAGTCTTTGACCCTATTCTCAGATTGCTCCAAAAATATTTTACCAGGTTTTATGCCTAGAACTTGAAGGTGAGAGCTGAACTTGACAAGTTTAATTTCGGAAACTATTTACAGTTACACGCGTGCAGTTCTCTTTCAGGCACTGGGAATGCTGCAGAAGCTGGCCCTGTTAGTAAGTAAGGGTTGTGTGGCACTTGTTGGAGTTCCACCCGCAGGTGTCTAATATAGATTCCATCCAAAGGAAGGATGGATTGTGATGGTGAGAGGCCAACAGTATTAGGAGATGGGGATCCTTGGTCCTGTTCGCTTACAGTTTTGAGTTTGCTCTCTTAATGTTCTCAGATGTCTGAAGTCAACAGTCTGAAAGTGTTTGCCAGGGTGTCTCAGAGTTTCTGAAGCTTTAACTAATTGGCTGCATTCTGAATATCACAAGCAGGTAGGTTGCCTGTGATCTGTGCTCCCAGTGCAGCAAATAGACCCAGATGCAGCCAGAAGTGTTCATTCATCCTGTCCTCTAGCCGTAGAATTGTCAAGTTCTGCTCCAGTGACTCCAGAAACTCTGCCTTTTCGGCAACTTGTCCTTTTCTCATGGATGGTCAAAGATGACATCCAACTATTGTTCAGGAAGATGTAGTAAATAGTCTGTCAGATCACTCCTATCCCTTGGATTATGCACATAGAAGGGCTCTGAAGGCAGTTATGCAAATAAAGGGAAATGGAAATGCCTTCACGGGGGATAATTACTCTATTTAGTATCTAAAGTCATCCATTTTTCATAAAATGTTATAAGATCTATAAAAACTTAAATTTTCTCACACACGCATGATACGTTTTTTTGGATCAACTTCTGTTGATGAAAAGAAACCAATGTTCTTTCAAATTTACACAGAGCTGGTCTATTTCATCAACAGTTGGTCCAATAAAACATCTTACCTCATCCACTTTGTGTGTCCTACCCTGGCACTGACGCATCTACAACATTTTAAATGCCTCACAATTATCTACCACATTTCATTCAAGATATATTAGCAGGGCTTGCTGAACCACGGCGAGCCCCGCTCGCCAGCCGCACTCCGGCGATCTGCGCATGTGCAGATCACCCGAACCCAACTCTTCCGGGTTGCAATCTATTTGTCGAGCCCTGTATATTAGGATGCTTTTGATTCTACATAAACCATGAGTTCAAAATGGTTGGAAGTATGCCCCAACATGGCTTACACTCATGTCTTCTAGGAGAAAAGTGAGGAGTGGTTTTTTCAATAAAATGAGATTTTGACAATGTAAGTTATGCAAGTTGGAATTTGGCTGAAGCATTTAAATACTGATTTATTATGCTTTAAAAAATACTAAATTGTGCCACCTCTTCTCCCCAGTCCTATAGCTACAGCCTCATATATAGAAGTCTGTTACACCCTCTAACCACAGAACCAGGAAGCAAAAGTTAGTTTCAGGTCTTGAGTCTATTACATAACCTGCCTCCCTGCCTGGAATCTGAGCCCTTCAGATTGTGTTGTGAAAGGGAAATGTTAACCACTAACCAGTGGGGGTTGAAGCTGCTCCAGCCAGTGGGTGGAGTTCCAACAAGTGCTCTCATTCGGAGCAGCCTCTGTCCACGGGGAGCCTAGATGCCCCACAGGCAGGGGCTGTTCCAGTAGGGACTGGCAGCCAGCAGCCAGCCCCAGAATGGTGTTGGGAGTGGGAGTCCCCATCTGGGGCGCCTGCCTAATCTGTTAACTGGTTAAACATTGGGTTGACCTAATATTAAACCAGTTAACTGGTTGATGGTGGGTAATGAACAACAGTGTCTGTTGTACAGGTTGTCCAGGTCTTGGTATCTAGAAAGCGTGTCAGTAGTCTATGGTCTGCTCCAGGGTCCAGTTCTGCTTTAGTGAGACCCTGCAGACTGCCTTTTAGATGAAATAAATCAGTGTGGATTGGTTTAAATCAAGATTAAATTACCAAGCAGGGAGTCTAGAGTTAAATTCGTCAATTTTAATTGTTTTGTATTTGTATTTTCCTAGAGAGGTTGACTTTCATTGGTGATAACCATTAAAGCCAGATCTATGCTGAGATCTTTATCATTTAAGTACATTGCTCCAGGGGCTGAAAAATGCACACGCATGAGTGACACAGTTATACTAGTCTAGCCACCCTTTTAACAGCACTGTATCGGACAGCTGCCATCTCGTGTTGCGTGGATTAACTATGCTGACAGAAGAAGCTCTCCTGTTTGGTATAGTAGTGTCTTCACTAAAGTATGTGAAGACAGTCGCTAAGACATTTCAGTTGCAATGAAATAGAACATTTACACTAAATATGCTTTTTGAAAACCAGGATACACATCTGTACATGTTTGTTTAAGCAATGATAGAGCTTAATTTACATTTATTCCAATTCCGAATGTTTCCTGCGTTAGAAGATGGTGAAAAATGCATTTAATTACTGGATTTTTTATTTATGATTTGTCGAATTCTGTTTGGATGAGAATTCAAATTCAACTTCACTTTTATCAAAGATTTTCAACATGTAACGGCTTTAGTAAACAAAGGAAGTATCTGCAGTTTAGTGAATTGAACTGATTGTGTCTTGTCACTGTGTCCTTCTGGATTTTAACACTTGTAGGTTGTATCCTCACATTCAGATTTTATTCATAGATTGGAGAACAAACTTTCCTACTCTTCTTTTCAATTTTTGATTGGTCTTTAACTTTGAGTGAACTCCTCATTGAACTTATTGTACCAGTTAAACTGAAATGAAGAAAATATTTTCTCTGCACCTGTAGAAGAGGCTGTTTTAGCACTTTAGCAAAATCTAGCTCCAGCTGTTTAGCCCGTGCACCCTTGAGTTCTGTGGTTTGACTTGGAAATGGTGGCAGTAAATGGAATACTACTTAACTTTTTTTATTTGAATTAAATTATTTTAGTAGATTACAGTAAATGTAGGAGTTAGCAGAGGTTGTCATATTTCCAAATTTTAAATAGTCTTATTTTTAATAACAAGCCTGTGTTTAAATTAAAAATCCAGTTTCACATCCATTTTTATTTATCCTAGGATGAAGTGGGGTGTGCTTCTCGGGTGCATATCCAAGACTAAAATGACAGATTAGCCACACAGGAGACTACTGCTTTCAATCAAAATTGAAGCTGGTTTGCATTATGGGATATAGTTGAATCGTCAGTTCCTCGTAGTTCTGTGCAGTCAAAAAGTCCCATTTGTTACTGGCTTACACTACTTTGCTGGGGAGTGCAGCAGCCCCGGGCCTTAGACAGTATGACGGCCCTTGCCGGTGGGCCGCTCTGTAGTAACTTCATATGTTGTCCCAGTAAGGTGAGATTTGTCGCTTCTGGCTATGACATTGCACCTGTAACACTGAGCAATGGTTTGTTCTCCAAATGTCGTCTTTATTTGAGGCTTTGCTTGTACCTTTTTGGTACACTTAGAAATACTTGGATTTCCACAGACTTGATACCTTGGAGTTCACTTAAGTCAGTTTGCAGCAGAGAATTCAGTTAGGTTCTTCACTTGCTTGAGTCTTGTTTTTTTTTTTTTTTTTGACAAGCACCTCCATGTCCTAAGCGAAGTTTGAGTACTTTTCTCCCTTTCCACGGATACCGAAAATTCAGGTTGAAAGCAGGGATTCCCAATTCACGCAATTTCTTTTCAGCTGCTTGTGGTTTCCTGACATGGCTTATGGCTCTGGGTTCATTCCAGAAAACTGTCTTTTTCCTGCCTCCACTTTTCATGTCTGCTAAGCCTCTCCGTTTGCAGAATTGGAGGCAGACATGCATGCTTCTCTTAGAAGACGCCAGACAAAACTAGAAGGAATCTATTTCAGTCACTGTAAAATGTATCAGAAGCATAAGAGGACCCAGTCTGTCTCTGCTAGATGAAAATGCATTACACTAAGCTGGCATACCTTGAGCTGAAACAGTCCTGATGCCTTGAAACCGCACATAACAGCCACTCTTATAATGGGAATCTGATTTTGAAAGTCTTTCATGAGATCTGGATTAACTATGGGCCAGGTTAAGTTAACCCTTGCAGTGGCAGTCTACACAGAAACATCTTGGAGCCTTAAGAAACTGGGCTTTGAGCATTGGTAGTGTCTGGACTCCACTGTCTCATGCGATGGATCCTCATTATGGAAACTTGTCAAATGAGCCAGTGAAATACGTTTGAAATGCTTTTGTAACAGCATAATAGTATGATGCAGTCATCAAGAAAAATATTTAAGTGAGAAGCTAGTGACTAAAGCCAGTTCACATGCTGCTTAGGACTGCTGTAGGCAACACGCTTATTGGTATTAGATATGTTGTCTTTCCTCTAGTATTGTGGGGCAAAGTATTAATAGGAAGTGGCATCTTTTATCATGTTAGCGTACCTGAAACTGACAGTGTGGGAAACTGAAACTGACCTGTGCACATCAGAAGTTTCAGGCTGGTAAAATCAGGCATCCCTTCAGCCTCTTCATTCCACTTCCTGCAGAAACATTCCCCCTTGCTCTCAGAAGTGTACAAAATCCAACACTGACATTTCAGTGGCTACGTAATCATTGTGCTTTAAAATCAGTCCATTGGGCACTTGTCCAGCCAGCCTCTGTTGTTATTGAAGACCCAGGCTCTGTACACCATGAGAGCAGGACAAAGACCATTTTCTTCATCTGGTGGAAGCTCAAAAGCTTCTCTCTCTCTAACAGAAGTTGGTCCAGCAAAAGATTCCCTCCTCCTCCTCCTCCTCTCTGATCCATCATCGCATGCATCACAGCAGAAAAGGAGCCTTTTTGATTGGCCTGCTTCTGAGCTTCATATGAGGAGCAGGGAATTGGCAAGTGAATATCAGTAGTAATGCCACAATGAGGGAGGCCCCGGTGGGGGATATTAGAGCAGTCACACGCTTTATAAGTCATTTATTACTAACCACGTCTCTAGCACAATTTCTGTGCCAGTAGACTTGCCTATATCAAATATGTTCCAGCATATGTACTCTTCAGTCACACTAGCAAAGCACTGCCCAGTCCCTTGTCCATGGAAATTGAATCTCAAGTCCAGGTGTATTCACTGACCGTTGAGCAAAGCATTGCAAAGATGGCCTTACACTCTGCTCTCCCTCATAAGCACCTTGTGCTTCCTGATCCAAGCAAAGAGGTGCCTCTCCTTGAACTTCTCTCCTTTCAGTGTAGTGGGAGATGATGATGCTATCCAGCGAAGGGTCTCTCTCCGACTTCCTAGGGTCTCACCTCCACCCGAAGTGGGTGGTTCCTCTAGTCCCTTTCTCCCTATTTTCTTTCTTTACAGGCAGAAGTGTTTTCCATTGTGTCTTTTGATTCCTGTCCTTGGTGTCGTCTTTGTAGGGGGAGGATTTTTTAGAGGAGTCTGCAGGAAACTGGTATTTGAGGAGAAAAGCCCGTGTAGATCAGCGATGGGCAACCAAGACCTATGAGCTGGCTGCATGAATGGCCCTCCTTCCTCAGTGGGCTACATGACCAGTGGTGGCAAACCCATGGCCTACGGGGATTCTAGTCTGCGGCCTACGCAACCCTCCCCGCCCCACACGCCTCTCACACACTGGGGCCCTGTGCTCCTCCCTTTGCCTCACACCACTGAGTACCTCTAATCCACTGATTTGTGCTCCTTCCTTCCCTCCCTGAGCTTGAACAGCTGATTGACGGCATTCTGGGAGGGGACCGGAAGGAGCAGGGACAGTGTGAATCAGCGGATTTGTGGCACTTGGAAAGTGCTGGGGGAGGGAAGGAGTAGGAAGTGTGGGGTTCCAGTGCCCAGTGTGTGAGGGACAAGTGGTGGAGGGAGGCAGAGGGGATGCATGGGCCACAGACAGAACCCCAGTGGGCCGCATGTGGGTTGCAGGTTGCCCACCACTAGTGTAGATCGAAGGGGTTCCTGCACACAGCCCAGCTGCACAGTAATTCACTGCCTCCCTCATTGCCTGGTGCTTCAGCAGCAGGTCTTGACTTGGCAGATTCTCCAAGCCAGCGGTGCCTGGCTGCTGAGTGCTCCAGCTTAGCTGAAGTGTGGTGAGCAAGTCTCAGGCTGCTGGACGCAGAAATTCAGCAGCAGGACCTAACATTTTAGAAGGCCAGAGAGCCTAGGTTAGTTGGATTTTTTTTTCTGTTCCAAATAGGATGCAATAGAGTAACCAAAAAGGCTTCCAAGTGGTGAGTCAGAGACAGGGAAAAACCCATCGTTGCAGGATCCATCCTGTCCAGCAACCACCACCCCTTTTCTGACTCCTGTAGCCAGGTATTTTTGTCCCAGTGGTTCCAGGAAGGGTCTTAGTTCATGCTGCTTGTGATTATTACCTTGAGCCCCTCAACAGTTCTGTCAGCCCCCTTCTCTGACAGCTGTGGTTCCCACAGGTTCCAGAAACCACCACCAGTGAAAACCAAAAACCCCTTTGACTCCCTGTGCTTATTACCAGAATTGTAATCATCAAGCTGTGATGAAGCCTTGGCTTGGTCAGTGAATTCATCACCCCATGCCAGTTGTCTTAAAGGAGACTCAGTTTCACACCTATTTGGAATGCAGCCCTGTGCTGAGACCTGCTTCCAACCATTATGCTATACAAATACCAGCATAACCTTACTTCTTGGGGACCAGTAAGCTGTGCGTGCTGATTTGGACCTAGTTATAAGATAGGCAAAAAATATACAGGCTGGACCTCTAATCTGGACTCTTTGGTTCTGACCACGGATATTCCTGGACCAGAGAGCCCCAGTGGCTGAGTCAGGTGACAGGAGGGCCAGTGGCTGGGAGCCCAGCTGGGCCGGCAGCATTGGGGATGCCATTGACCTTCTGTGGTCCGGCAAACTCCCTGGTTGAGACTAGTTAGATGCTGAACCAAGGAGGTCCAACCTGTGTTATGAATGACAGCCCTGGTACTAATTAAAAATGTTCAGTCTTTCTTTCTTGCATCTGCTTACTGTTTTGTTGGTTTTGATTTACATTGTACTTGAATTCTTGGTTAGTTCTGGAAAACTCTAGACTGGGGAGTGAGTTGAAATTACTCTGTGGTAAGCTTGTCTTGGGTTTGCCGCCTTAGCTCATGGCTGGTAAAGGTAGAACAGGATTGTCAATAGGCAGAGCACATCTGGATCACCCAATGCTTTTGACTTTATTTGTTCTGAAGTCTGGACTTTGAATATGCCTTGACAACAAATAATCGATTACCCCTGAGGTAGTGATGTGTGGGGATAGCAGCTGTAGGCTGACAGAGCAGTATGAAATTCTCCCTTCACCTGTAACTGCACAAACTCATTGCACATGTAAGTAAAAGGGTAACTGGGCACTAAGTTTAAGTTTTGTTTGGAGCAGTGAATCTTTAGGGTGCCATGAAGTCTTTTCCCAAACAGGTGTATTTCATAAGTTTTATATTTATTTCAGGCTTGCCCTCTCTAGATCCATCCAATGGCTCTGCAGCTGCCTCTGCAGCTCCTCTGACAGGTTTTTCAACAAACATACAACGGGTTTATCTTCAAGGGCCAGCACCTGTTGGGACTCCCAGCTTTAACAGACAGCATTTTTCACCACATCCTTGGACAAGCGCCACGAATTCATGTAGGAACTTCATGGGTCTGTCTTAATTATCTCTACACTTTTAGCATGTTAGTGATTGTCTCTGGTGACCAGTTGATTTGTAACTTTGGTGGGAAAGCCACCAGTGGCTTTAGAAACTATCACTGGGAATTGTTTTTAGCTCAGTAAAGATGGGAAATGTGAGAAATGGCAGCCAAAACCAGTGTGGATATCGTATGTAAAATGCCATCGTTACCTGTCTTAACGCAGCTTCAGGGAGCTTAGGGAATGTCTACACTGTTTAAAAAAAAAGCAGCAGCAAGTCTCAAGCCCAAGGGAGCGGATTCCAGTTTGTGCCATGGGGCTGAAAGTAACAGTGTAGATATAATATATGGAGATATACCTATCTCCTAGAACTGGAAGGGACCCTGAGAGGTTATTAAGTCAGTCCCCTGCCCTCACGGCAGAGCCAAGTATCATCCCTGACAGATTTGCCCCAAATCCCTAAATGGCCCCCTCAAGGATTGAGCTCACAACCCTGGGTTTAGCTGACCAATGCGCAAACCACTGAGCTATCCCTCCCCCTGTTCCCAGTGAGGCTGGACCTCATCTCTGAAAAGCAGCAAGGGGAGAATGGGGCTCAGAAGCCAGACTCCAGTCGGAGAGAACATCTGCAAGCAGTTGTCAGCCCAGCTCTGCTGACCAGGCTCTGAGGCACACTGCTACAGGGGCTTTGTTCCAGAGTAGAGGACCCTTACTCTATGAAGAGAAACTTAATCGCAGCACTGGCTGCTTTCTTATAATGTAAAAGTGCATCCGAGGAGCTTGGCATGACATTCTCAGATTGAGTCATGCTTTATTTTAAACATTTTAAAATGAGACCTGAGTCTTAACATTCACAGTAGTTTTTCACGTGTCTGAAATGACAGTGCAGAGTTCTCGTTTTGTGGTGTTTGGACTTTTGTTGTTCAGAGCCTTAGTGGTGGCAATTCCCTGAGCACAAAGGCCAAAATGGCAACCAGGCTTAAAACTAAGGGTTGGATTTTCAGAAGTTCCTGGGACAAATCCCACTAAAAGTTTAGGTCATTTCAGCATTTTTAGAAAACCACAGCCGGAGTGCATGTCTCAGCAAGCATATGGGATGCTCTGCACCTCTGAAAACAGAGCCACTTGGATCCCCAGAAAATTTGGGCCAAGATTTGCTGATCTCTTCATAAAATAAGATGCAAAATCGTTGGTGGAGAAACTTTCCAGTGGGCCAAACAGCAATCAGTTCAATGACTATTCTGCCTCAAATATCTTAGTTCTTTCACTAACCCCAAAAGATTATAAGTCAATGAACTTTTACGCCTTTTGTAATTTACATTCCAGCAAGCAGACTGGCAGTTTAGATGGGACATTGTGGGATTAAATATCCCTTAATAAGTGTTCCGTGTATGATAAAGCAAGAGAAATATTTTGTCACCAGGTGAATCTCCTATTCCATCAGTTTCATCGGGATCATCTTCACCCCTTTCAGCTGCTTCTGCACCTTCTAACTTGGGCCAGCCAAAAGCAGGCAACACAAGTCAAGACCGAAAGGTACCACCACCTATTGGGACGGAAAGGCTTGCACGAATTCGACAGGGAGGTTCCGTCACTCCTACCCCCTTGGGAACTAATTTTACGGCTCCTGTTGGACATAGTGGTATCTGGTCATTTGGAGTTAACAATGTATCAGGTAAGTCAATCTCATACACAGTGAGTAGACTTTTTCTGTTTAAAAAACAAAACTCAGATTTTAGGGAGATGCTACATCCTGAGAACTAATGGAGGGATAACACAATCTCTAGTTTATGCTTTTTGGGGGATCAAGTTTGAAACAGTAAAACATGGTAGTCATGTATAGATGTTACCTTCTAAATCAGGGAATAATAAATGTACATTATCAACTGCATGCAAGATTACTTTAAGGGAACGCCACAAACAGCTGGTGGGGACAGAGAAGAGTTCAAAAATTGCATACTCTGATCCTTTTAGGGGAATATATTGGGGAAAGTCTTAAGTTCCTCATTCACTGAGGAGCTGGCACATAAGGACGACAATTACAAAGGAAGGTTAAGGCAAAAGGAAGTGATTGATTTGTAAAGCTTTACGTGGGTACAAATCCAGAAACGTACTCTTCTTTACAGATGGGCTGTTAATACAGCCTCAGTATCCCACCTGGGATGGGCTCAAGTCTCGGAAGAACAGAGGTATTTCTTTAGGTTTTGTTTCATGATTGCTTTTCTGTTCATTTCCTGAGCTACTCTGCAGGATTTTCAGAGATAAATACCTCTGATGTTCTAGCTGGCAGACCAAGTTTTTCATGATTGATCCAGAAAGAATTTGTAACCCACCCACAAGAATGCCAAAGAATTCTTGATAAAGCTAAGGTGGACTGACTCAGATTTTCTTCAGGCCAAATCTGTTTGTTACTAGAACCATTGCAATTTACTCTCATCATACAGATTTTTTGCACCAGACTTAGTTCCTGCAATGGTACAGAATAAATAAATGCATCATCTCTGAGAGAGTGATTGAAATCTTCCAAACTGTTGCAGCTATTGAACGGACATGTAATTTTTAGAATGAGAACAAATACGTTTTTATCTTTTTTTCCTCAAAATGTCTCTTTTTCCTCAAAACGTGGTCTACAAATTTAAAACTCGGTCTGAAAGCTGTGGTTTCATTTTATTAATTAGTAGCTTGTCACTATTAAAATGTGGTTATAGTTATAACAAGCAAATAACTGAAACATCCAGATTCAGTGCTGCTATTCTTAATTTTTTTTCTCTTTTCTCCTCCATAATTCCTTTTGAATAATATGAAAAAGGTTTTGTTCCAGGCAACAGCAATTTCCTTTATTTAAAAAAAAAAAAAAAACACAATTTCTAACCAACTGAAGGTTTATAGTCAGTTTTTGGTAGTTCCATTTTCAAGTTCTAATGGCTAATCACAAAGTGCGGTGTTTGAGCTGCAGGTTGTTTGCATTTGGACTTGTGTGTGTAGCAAAATGAAATGATAGTTTTAATTGTCAGTTTTGTAATGCTAGGGGTTCCTTTGAGGCTTAAATTTTTGATCGGATTTTGTCCCCTTAAACTTTGGTGTCTCATCCTGACTGTTTTTCAGACTAAATTGATCAAATTGTCAGATAAATTGGGGGTGTTTATAGATTACGGTTGTGTTAAAGCTTAACTCAGGATTGGGGGCATCAGAAATACCAGTCTGGTATTTGATGCAGACTCCAAATTTGTGGAGGAATATACAAGCATGAGGGGAAATGGATATCAGGGCCTGTCTCACACCTTCAGACTTCTTCTCCCACTTCAGTCAACAGAAAGTTCTCTGCTCTCATACAAGCTCCTGCCCTAAGCGTGATTCTGTGAAGCCTTCCAGCTTGCATTGCCATAGGCACTACAGTGCTTTTCATACCTAACTCGCTGGGTACGGGGAGGGGAAAACATGTTTGCATGTGGCAGGGCCTCAGGTGGGCAGTGCGTTCTACAGCCAGTCTGTGAGAGGGCCATGTAGGCAGAGCATAACACTGCGGCTAGGAGGCCTGTGTGCATAGCTTGTTAAAAACCGGTCCTTGGGGTCTGAGGGTAGAACACACGCGAGTTTCGGGGAGGTCTGAAAGTGGTTTGCACAGAGCAGTGCCCCATCTTATTTTGCAGCATTGTGGTGCTTATTTCCAAGATCTTTACCGTGTGTGGTGGTCTTTGCAGCTGATTGATGTATTCCAGAGTGCTCTCCATTGGTCAGAACCAGCCACTTTTAATCTCTTCCTTTCCAGAAGGCTTGTCAGGCTGGTCCCAGCCCATCATGGGGAATCATCCAATGCATCAACAGTTGTCAGACCCAGGCACGTTTTCCCAGCATCAGCCAATGGAGAGAGATGATTCTGGAATCGTGGCTCCCTCAAACATTTTCCACCAACCTATGCCAAATAGCTTTGTGGATTTTTCTAAAGTAAGTGATGTTTGAAAGTTGACTTTGTTGTGAGCAGCTGGTTGGCTTTCCCTGGCTGCAGATGACTTGCCTGATGGTGCATATCCAGAAACGATCGGTACAAACTGCATTCAAAGCTCTTTCTCTGCAACAAGTTGGAGCCACTTTGCCAGGAAAAATGAGTTCAGCTTGAATGTTCTGTAGCTCAGGGGTGCCCGGCCACATGAGCGTAAGCAGCCTTGTGTGGGCCCAACATCTTGTACACATGTGGATAAGATTTCAAGTCAGCTATATTGATTGATATTTTAAACTTAGCTTGGTTTGTGTGTCTTTAGATGTGTGTGAAGAACCAACCTGTGGGAAACTAAAATGATGTAACCATGGTGACAAAACGCAAATGAGTCTGCTGTTAGTATATTCTGTTACACAGGCCACGGGTGTTCTGGGCTTGTGTGCACCCCACAGGCCATCGGTTGGGCACCCTTCCTCTGTCAGATATGGGGATTCCTATGGCCTCCCCTCCACGGCAGCCACCCTCTTGGGCACGTGAGATGCTAGTCGAACTGAGTCACGTAACTGAAATTAAAAACTAGCCGTAGTTGTTTATATCTCAGCTGATCCCCGGACTAGTTTGGTGACACTCTTCACTCTTCCCGGCCGTGTTTGACTCTGGATGCCTGCCTATCCTGGAACTAGGTCACCTCTTCAGGCTGATTAATAGTTAATGCTTCTAACACAGGTTCCAGGTGATAATTGGGCATTTGACTAAGACATGACTTTCTCCAGAACACATGGCAGGAGGTTAGGAGACTGTTGAAATGTGCACATGGAGAAACTAGCACAAGGCAAAGACTGAATTCAGCCCTGGCATAATTCAGTTTTGGCATTTGAGGAGTATTGAGGATCAGGTACCTGGAGTGGAGTCTTCCCAGAACATTGCGATGGCTACATCTGGAGAAGGTGCCTTGTTGTAGTCCTTGTTCGTTGGGAGCGATGGTCATTTTAAGGCAAGGTGAAGATTTTTCGTATCCTATGCAAAGACACACCAGACCCTTGCGGGAGGTGTCGAAAGAGCTGTTGCCTATGGTGGTTATGAAACCTACGACTTTAGCTCGACCCTCCTCCACTCGACCCTTTCCCCAAGTCTCTGCCCGTACCCGCCTCTTTCCCCAAATGTCCCATACTCCCTACTCCTCCTTCCCCGCGGTCTATGAACCCCGCAAAATAGCTGTTTCGCAGCAGGCAGGAGGGGGCAGTAATGGGCAGCCAGCGGCCCGAGGACCACAGACAGGCCATTGGGTTGTATGAGAGACCTGCGAGAGATTCTGTTGACAGTTGCTGCTGGTTTCCATCCGCATAGTTTTTTCCTACCAGTGTTGCTAAAGTGGCACATGTGAAGGGAGGTGTGGGCTGATCGCACACAACATGAACTGAGAGCCAGGCACTCCCTCTGCATCCAATCACAGTGCTGCTATGGTTTTCTCAACACCAGGTACTCCTGTGCAGTTAGTAAAACCACCCTGTCCTGGAAGACCGTCGGCTTCGACAATCTTGCGGCCCGTTGAGATGCAAGGGGGCCTCATGCGGCCCACTGGCTGGGTTGCTCATTGCTGCTCTAGGCTAAGGGGGGGAGCCTATGGTTTGTCACGTTGGAGGCCGAGTGAGTCTGTCTAAAGGCCACTCCACCTTTTTATGAACGGTTATGGATTCCAGTTGGCCATGACAGTATCGTACAGAACTGTCCTTCTTGAAGGAACCCACTGTGCTTTCAAATGACACGCACGGCATCACTGCCACTCCGTTTGGATGACAGCGGGCCTATCGATAGGAAGGCGAGCACGTCCCAGGTACTTCGTGACTTGAAATCTGTGTAGAACAGGCAGTGTCTGGCTTTGCAGACTCACCTGAAAACCACTCCCAAGCCATGGCAGTACTTACGATGGAGGATGATGGGCTGAAAGCCTCTGGTTCTAAGGCATCTGACCTTTCCAACCTTGATGCTTAGACCACCATGTGTTCCTGGCTTTCTCACAGAATGCCAAGCTGATTAAATGCAACTTCATGTTGCAGAAGAATTTGAAGTTTGACCCCTTGAAGTAACGCTCATTCACACTGCGCAGCACATCGGAATGGGGAGCCTTAAAAATTCCAACAGTAGTAAAATCAGTTGCCTTTTGCCTTCCTCTGAATTGTCCCTGGACGTGGCTATGATATTCTCCTGTCTCCTCAAACGCTGCTCTGGGCAGTGCTGATGTGTAGCGCCACTCTTTGATGTCAGTGCTGCAGGAAGTGATCTCTGGAAAGTGCTGTGGGATCTCGGTGATGAAAGCAGCTACTCTGCGTACGAGATACTAGTCTTGTTGTCTGTAACCACTACGCTGGTCACTGATTGTCCTTTCTGCTATTTTAGGGTCTACCAATTTCCATGTATGGAGGCGCTCTAATACCTTCTCATCCTCAGTTAGCTGATGGCCCAGGAGGTCCTCTCTTTAATGGACTTCATACTCCAGATCCAGCTTGGAATCCTATGATAAAAGTTGTCCAAAATTCAACAGAATGTACCGATGCTCAGCAGGTAAATTCATTTGCATCTTCTCATATTTAAAATACTTTCCATCATATTACTCAAATGAGATTTTATGCTTAGTAGAAAAACACATGCTTAGCTGTCATGTAATTGAGAGCCTGTTTACGTGATTTTTTTTCCGAGCATGTATGTCAGATATATTGGCACTAGACTTTACAGATTAGTAAACAGGCCAAAACTTTTAAACCTGAGTAGTAATAACACGCTGACTGGTTCTACATTGCCATTTACCACTCCCTCACAAAAACCTGGCCATCACTGAACACAGTTAAAAGCCCCTCTGAAAATCTGACCACTCTTATGTTGGAGTTGAACTGTAGACACTCATATTTTAAAAAATTGGTCTGAGTTTGTAATTGTATCTCTTATAGAATTTAACAGTTGAGCATATTCTTAATGTTCTGGGTTTTTTTCTGTCCACTGCAGATTTGGCCTGGCACCTGGGCACCTCACATTGGAAACATGCATCTCAAATACGTCAACTAATTTAAGAGGGTTGATCCTTTTTAGCCTTGTTGGGAAAACCTATGACCTTGGAAGAACCCTGGGGATTTTTTTAATGTGCCTAACTAAGCAATTTTTCTCTGTGGGCTGTAACAATGAAAATTTGATTGCCCATTGTGTAAGAACAAATTGATTTACCTATTCAACTGATTCTGTTCTCCAGTTAGTTTAGCCATTTTGAACTTAAAATCAGATGAACCTAGTGCTTTTGGCTAAACACTACTGAATGCTACTTGTATGCAGCAGAGAACTAGATGATTACATGATTTCAACCTTTTACGGTGGTAAATACATGTATAATTGTTTACATACTTAAAAGGAAAAAAGTTGAGTAAATTTCATGTCGTATAGTGGCTCCACTTTATGTAGCCTGTATTAATGTGAAATATTTACCTGAATATTCAATAAAAAGACGAACAGTATTGATAGGTTGTGGTGTGAATTTTGGGGGGAGGGGGGGCGGCGCACATCTTCCTATCAGGATGTCCACAGTTACTTTGTGAAATGGCTTCAAAAAGACAGTCAGCTACTCAAGTGAGGTATAGAGGGAGGATCACTGTCATTTGTAACAGCCTCTCAAACCGGAAAATACTTTTGGTCCCTCTTAGCTTTGTCATTTTCTGGTTAGTGAACATTCATATCGCTGCATTTTGAATACCATGCAAACCAGTGTGGCTCTCAAGTTTTCATTGTTTGGATATTTTAGTGATGTGCCAACTATGGTATTGAGTACCACTCAGGGCTTGGGAATATGCTTTACCTGACAGCCAAAGTCCGTATGAAAGAACAGAAAACACTGGATAGCTCCTGCACGCCATAAGGGCTTGTAACCTAATAGAGGCTTTGTAGATCCCTCAAAAAATCTGAATGGAGGTGCTAACCTTTTTGGAAAACTTAGACGTAGCCTGTAGACCCTTGGAATGCTGCAGACCATAGATGGAAAAACAACTGGTCTAATATATCTTAGTGACGGGCAGATTTCTGAAAATAGATATCTAGAAATATTGGCCAGTATTTGATTTCAACATTTTTTGCTCCTTAAACAGGTTAAGAGTTTAACACTTCTGTGAGTCCGAGTGGGTTTTGCAAGCTCCTTTGAATAGCATATTAAAACCTATATTCGCTCTGCGTGCAAATGATGCATTCCCCCGTTTGGAAATGTCACACTTTTGCCTTAAAATCATACTTTCCTCTGGCGCAGTAATGACACTAATTATAAAGGGAAGAAGATCTGATCCACTTCTTCAGCCAGTAACTACACAGATGAGTACCCACTTTTTTGAC